CAAAGAGAATCCCGGTGCTCGGGAGCTTTACCGGGATTACGTTTGGGGTTGATTAAGACAACGGAATAAATCTAGCTATTTGCCCTAATCTATGCCGCCGTCTCTTTGTCAAGTTTTCGGATCCCTCGCTCGTGTTCCTTCCCTCTCCTTTTATAGCTTGGACTCCTCGGTCTTAACCTAGGTCGTTCTCGGCTCGTGGGCCTCCGGTATTGGGCCTGTTATCAGCTCGATAACGCCACTTCCTGCTTGTACGGACGCCACTCGGATATAAGTGAATCTTTTGGCCTTGTTAACTGTTCACTCTTACCGGGCCGAGTGTGATTTTCCGTAGGCCTTGAGGGGTGGGTACAGCCCACCTCCTACAATATTGATTTAGTCAAGCTTACGATAAGTCTACATTTCGAAACAATTTTATCGTTTCAATTGTACTACAAAAAACGTAATTTTCTTCGTATATTGACCTTTTGAAATTTCTGAATTACAGGTGAATGAACAGTTTTACATAACAGCCACCTTTACTAGACTTGTATAAAAGAATATATCAAATAAAATCAAAAGTCCAAACGTACAGGTGACCAAGATTTTAAAGCATGATTATCCATAGAAACCCATAAAGTTTCTTAAATACACTTTAATGACTATTTAACTAATACATTTTAGGTACGGATTTTAGTTAATAATCACATAATTTTTGAGGTACAATGGTAGTTTCTTAGGCACCCAAAGAGAAATATCTGAATCTTAGCATTAATTAAGAAGTTCTAACGTTATCAAAATTATACGCCTAGGATCAACATGTGCACTTCATGAACATTAGCCAACTCTTAGTTTAAGGAGCCAAAGAGATTAGGCATATCCTCTTTCTTCAGCTATTCAGATACTTTGTAGTAGCTTTTAAGACTACTTAAATTATACCACAACTTCCGGTTTCACATTTGCGTATCCAAAATATATAGAAATTAAAGGAGAGTATACATAACAAAAAGAATTGTGCAACGGGAATCATTTTCAATACTAGTTGCATACTCCCCGTACAAGCGTGGAGCCATGATTATTGTGTTTGCCTGTATTTTTTCGATTGTTGGTTTAGTGGGTTCTTCTAATGACACCAAATAATAATGAAATGTAAAGAATGTATCAAGAGTGTAAAGTAAAATATTATATATATAATGTGTTAAAATGTTATTTATATGCGAAGTAAGATTTATAAGAATTTTAGGCTATAATATAGTTTTTAGTGTGTCAAAATATGTGTCTTTTTTTATAAATAGTCTTTATAGTGTAGGTCAAAACTTGATATAATTATATATTTATATTTGTATGAAATGATTTACCAATTTGAAAATAACTTTAATTAAGTTAATATTCATTGTTTAGGTTTCATTAGATATGTTTTTATATATGTTTTTTTGTAAATTTGGGTTTTGTTCATAAATGATTTGACATTTTTATCTACGGCGTCATCGACTGTAGGAATCCATTTGCCAGAGTCTGGAGTCGGTGGTGAGGAATGTTTTCAATGAAATTATAGTAGCTATTAAAATGTAAGAGAAATTACAGATTCATTTAATAAATAAGAAAAATACTTAAATTTTGTTGTTTTTTAATTTTACTTCACATACAAATTTTTTGAAAATATATATTAGGAAATATGTGCAGTTAATTAATTTTTTGAGCTCTTAATCTATATTATTCAAGCCTCCTTAAGCCATCTACGTAGGCAGACGTGTGGGACTCACTTTTTTTGTTTTTTGGTCTGTTCGTTTTTGGATCTATTTTTTATTATTTTTGGATTGAGTTATATTATAATAGGACAATTTTAAAGTTTCTTAAGCCATCCGCGTAGGCAACTGCGTGGGACTCTCTTTTTTTTTTGGAATGTTCGTTTTTGGATCCATTTTTAACTGTGTTTGGGTTTGAACTTGTTAAGATTTAGGATTTATCCAAACTATTTTGATCTTTAAAACAATAAGCCCAAAAGAAAAAAAACATAAAAATATTATAAAGAAAAGACCCATATAATAATAACTTAAATCAAAAAATCAAAAAATCAAAAATACATGATAGATGCGTGTTTGAATCTACGCACTTGCATACTTAATTAGACACTTTATACTACTCGACTAAAGTGTATTTCGTTGTTAAAAATCATCTTACAAGGACTATGAGATTTTAAAAAACACACGCAAAACTCACAAAACTGCTGATATGGTGCGCTGTAGAGCCTAAAAACTCTGCTATTATAATATAGATTGTGCCAGAAATTTAAAACCAATCAATATTATGCGTACATTGAGATCGAGCAACGATACCGTCTACGACCTTGCACTTGCCTGGAGATCCGCTCCTAATATTTACAATAGTATAGTAGAGTTTTATATGCATTGAGCAATCTATATAAAGTTTTTAAAAAGTTTTATATTCTCTAGACAACATAAATTTTTTTATAAACATACTTTATACATTTATGAATATGAGCAAAAGAAACTAAATAAATAGTAATTTATTTTTAAAAAAAAGTTTAACAAACATAAATAGAAAAATTCATATTTCAAAACCATTATCGTTGAAATTAACATTTTAAATTTTTATAATAATTTTAACTTGTAAATTAAAATTACTTGGTGAATATAGCTCTGTGCAAGCGCGGGATCATTGACTTATTTTTTGCTTTATATAAATATGTTGAAGTGATGCGGTGTCTTTGTTGGGTAGTTATTGTAACAGAACGGTGTATATCTTGGTTTTTTTTATAGTTATTTGTTTTTAAAAAATAGTAATTATTCCAAATTTTGTCATTATTTTTATTTCTTCAAATTTTTGTTTGTTGTGTATAAACAATCACAAATACATTATTTTTTAAAAAATAAAAATTTTGTGAAATTTGTAAATCTACACATATTATTTTCGACCTTACAGACTGAAAATGAAATACATTCTTGCAAACAAATACTAATATATATTTTCCTTTCACCAAGAACCAAAGGAGCCGGCCAACTATAAACTGTTTGATCAAGTTGAATTGAGTCAAATTTTGAGTGGCTGACGGTGGTTTGAGTCTTGTCGGCTCCGGATCGGTTTAGATCTTAGATAGTAATATCTAATAGAAAATTATTATTCGTCGATTCAGATTTGGAAATACTTGATAATATTTAAATATCAGAAAATACTCAAAATTTTATCCAAAATCTGATCTCGGGACATGAAAAATACCAAAAAATTATCTGACAATCTGAATTATATATTTGAAAATCTAAAATTTTATTCAAGACTCAAAGCTGAAACTTAGAAAAATATCCATAACATAAAAAATATACTAAAAGACTCGTATATATCTAATATATACTAGAAGTTTTGGGTTTTGGGGTACCCTATCGAGTCGCATTCGGTTTGGGGCCAAAATCCACGGGTCCTCCACAACAAGACCTAATAGGGTAATAAGATCGGGTCGGTTCTACCCTAACCAAAAAAAATTGGGTCGATTTTGGGTCAGTCCTCGGTCCAGGTAAAATGTGCAGTCTAAACTGAAGTAAACACTAAAATTTCAACAACTTGGAATAAAAAATTTCACATTAGTTTAAAATAGTTGCACAATTATATTTTCTGATTATAATATTAATGAAAAGTATATAAATTAATTATATAATCAATTTTATATTTTAATTAATTAAAAATAAAATAAAAATCTCGGTTGAACCAGTTAGACCGGTTTAATAATCGATTCAATCACCATGCCGAGTAATTCTGTCCGGTTTTTAGAATATTATTTTTGTATAATATGTTGACCTGCATTTGAGCTATATTTGATTTGCATTATTGGTTTGATATGCATTTGCTGATCTAATATTATTATTAGACTATGAATTATGTCAGAGAGAAACGTTTGATGAAGGGTTTAAAAAGATGATTTAAATAATCATTGAGGATAAGGCAACGACTCTACTCAACGATTTTTTTTTTCTCAACAGACTTACTCATTGATTTTGTTTTTTTTTTTTGAACGACGACTACTCATTGATTAAGGTTCCACTAGTCATGGTATCCGGGATTAATGGGGAGGGATGATGATAGAAAGATAATCCGTAATTCTATTACGTTACAGGTTGACCACGTAAGCTTACTTGCTTTTATCTATACACTAAATTTTGATCCGCGGGTATACTGTTAATTTTACTTTTTTTTAGAAATTTTATTTTCATATTTTTATTTTTTTGTTTATAAAATATTTGGTGTTTTCTTTTGTAATTATATTTGGGTTTATTTTTTTAGTCACTCTAATATAAGGTTTTGATAATTTGATTGAATTTAAGATGTTGGATAACTATATTTGTGTTATAGTCATTTCACAAATTTATTTTATAATTTATTTGTACATAGTTAGTAATGATTTTTTTTTTAAATAACAAAGTATAGCTACATTTTTTTATATTATCATGGTAATTAAATAAATAAATTATATATTTTTCATTAAATTTTCATTATTTGATTTCATATATAATTATAATAATGTTATAGTTACACATTAATTTTTCAGAACTTGGTGAATGGATTTTGTTAATTTTGATCCACTATAATTCAAAAGGGTTAATTCCATTTAGTAGAATATTAGTAGGATAGATATCATTTATTTGAAAAGGAGTTTTATAGTTTTATAATCCTTAAAAATAGGATATTAGTGGCTATGAAACTGTTATTTTTGTTCACGTATTATTTAAAGGGTTTTAGATCAAATAGACCTTAAAAGTAGGACATGTCAATATAAGCAGTTATATGTATAATTTAGAGTCATATGATGCCGAGTATTTTTTTTTTAAATTGGATCCAACAACTATCAATAGGGCATGTTGTTAATTTAATAAAATTGATAATATTGATTAGACTGATAATTGAAACAAGGGCAGCTATGAAAAAGGTTTTGAAGTAGAAACTGAACAAAAAAAACAGAGTGCTTGAATCTGTTTCTGTGGCTTTGGCTGTGACTAAAAATGGAATCAACAAAAATGATTTCTGCGCTCAGAATTTTCTCTCAAGTTCAACTAATCCCTCTCTGTCTTAATACCAGCCTCTCTCTCTTTCCTCGCCCTTCTCTTGCACTGAAACCCATGAAACACCGGTTGTTCTGTGCTAAGGCTACTACTAATGATGATCTTAATAGTAGTCGTCCTTCGAAGCACTTTGCTCCCTCTCTTTGGGGAGATCACTTCCTCTCTGTTCCCCTCAACGGCGAAGTAAGTGATATGCCCCTTTCAAGTATGTTGTTTAAAAAAAAATTGATTCTTGAATTGCCATTTTGTATCTTTTTAGGAATTTGATGAGCTAGAAAAAGAGATTAAATTTATGAAGCCTCTGGTAAAGGACATGCTCATGTCTTCTCATAGCAGCGACAAGGAGAGGATTCGTCTCATCTATTTGCTTATCAGCCTCGGAGTTTCTTATCATTTTGAAAAGGAGGTCGAAGAGATCCTTAACCTCAGCTTCTCAAAGTTGGATGACATAATTGCGGGGGAAGATGATCTGGAAACAATCTCCATTATGTTTGAGGTTTTCAGACTGTACGGTCACAACATGTCTTGTGGTAAGAGTATTATAATTATTCTATTAAGTGTCATAATGGCAAAAAGTTTCATTACAAAATAAATATGGTTTTCTGTTTTTAATAAAAATTTATTAATTTTATTATACATTTTTTTATTGATTAAAATATAATTATATTTATATGAGGGTGTTTAAATTGAAATATATAATTAATTGTTTTCTTAATCTATATGTATAAAACTAAATGACATTTATCATGAAACTGAGGGAATAGTTTCCCTGGATTGACATACATGTTTTCATAATCTGAATATATGTATCCAACTAGAATAGACATAGCCAGGTCTGATGACATGTAAGTAAAACATTTCAATGGGGTTCCCAATTCAAAATGTTTATATATTAATATAATTATGTATAATAAAAATATATAGTTGTATAAACACAAACAAAAATATTAAATGTACAATGAAAAATAAAAAATAAAAAGAATATTTTTTCTACAAAGTAATACATTATATAGATTTCATATTCTTATGATTTATATGTATATAAATTTACTAAATAAAGTTTTTAAAAGATCATGGTTATTTTATTATTATATTTTTAATATAGTCTGTTTATACTATTTGTCTTCTTGTTTTATATATAAAAATGTGTTTTAGACTAAATTTTATCTTCGTAAAATTTGTAAGAATATTGGTTTATTAATAAATATATTTTTCGAATAGAGTCCCTAAATTTCAAGACTGGCTCTGACATATATAATTTTTCCTTCTAGATGCCTTCGATAGATTCAGAGGTGAAGATGGTAGGTTCCAGGAGACTCTAGCCAGAGATGTTAGAGGAATGCTACAGCTGTTCCAAATAGCGCATCTGGGGACACCCTCTGAAGACATAATGGACGAAGCGCTGAGTTTTACGCGGAACCACTTGGAGTCTTTAGATGGCGATAACGCATCCAGTGCTATTGCTCCCCATCTCTTCAAGCATATACAAAACGCACTCTACATACCTCGATACGGTAACATAGAAGTACTAGTGGCAAGGGAATATATATCTTACTATGAACAAGATGAAAGTCACAATGAGATCATTCTCAAGTTTGCAAAGCTTAACTTCAATTTCTGCCAGTTTCATTACATCCAAGAACTCAAAACTCTCACCAGGTGAGGTGACGGACTTATCTTCAATCTTGTTGAAAGAAACCGTTCCGGTTTCACTTTCCCAATGCATTTATGTGCAAGTTTACAGATGGTGGAAGGACTTAGATCTTGCATCTAAGTTACCTCACATTAGGGACAGACTTGTGGAGTGCCATTTTATGTCTCTAGGAGCATATTTCGAGCCGAAATATTCACTTGGGAGAATCATAGTGGCTAAAATCACGATGATCGTGGTTGTCGTGGATGACACATATGATGCATATGCAACTCTTCCCGAAGCCATTGCTCTTACCGAATGTTTGCAGAGGTACTATATATATATAATTTTAATAAAATAAATTATTAGATATGTGATTTCATTTATAATATTTTGAATCAGTTCAATTATTCACTTTTAGGTATGTTGAGTTAATTGGTTGGCCAAAAAAAGAAGAGGGTATGTTGAGCTGCATCCAGTATTTCAAATTGAACAATTGCTTTTCTTTTTTTTTTTCTTAAGTTAGTTTAGAATCATATTACCAGTTTTAACTCACTTAGTTAGGTTTATCTCCTTAAATTTGTTAATATATTTTAAAATAAAATTTTGATATGTTATTTTGATAAAACGTTTTAAAATATAACTTTGAATTAACATTAATAAACATAATTTGTAGTATTTATAAATTCATGTACATATATGAATATTTTAAAATAACTAAATTCTTATAATTGGTTAATAGTTTTTTTTATTTGTTTAACAGTTTGAAGATATTTTACCATTAGGCATGTGATTTGAGAAGTATGATATTAGGCATGTGATTTGAGAAGTATGATATTAGATGATCAATTTATGTTGTTCATATTATTTTCTTCTTTTATTCAATAAAAACTATAATCATATTAAAAAAAAATATTTTTAACAAATATCTAATTTATGTGATGAAAAAATTATCTAAGTTATATTAGTTTCAAATTTTTTGTGAAATTATGTTTTATATATAAATCTATATATTTGAAAATTTATAGAGAACTTCTTTTTATTTACGTTGTTAGGTACAATATAAAGTAAAAACAAATCAACTTCGTGTTATAAACATATTAATTCTGTGAGAATTAATATGTTTTAAACTATTTTGTAATATATATATATATATATAATATATTTGCTTAAGTATCATAATCTTTTCATCTTAATCAGATATTTGACTTCAAGTATAAAATTCAAATCAGTTCAAGTATTCATTTTTGAGTTGCATCTATTATTTTAAATTGAACAACAGTTTTTTGCTTTGTTTTAATGTGGTTGAAATAATATTAAATTTTAACTTTATTTTGGTTTATCCTCTTAGCTTTGTAAATATATCTTAAAATATAAAATCAGATGTATGTTGTTTTAAGAAAAAATAGAAACGTTATAGTGTTAGAGTTTCATTAATAAACATAACTTGTAATATTTTAAATATTCATGTAAATCTATGAATACTTATAAAAATAATTACATTCTAATAACTCTACAGTAATTTGTTTATTTATTGTAAAATTTGAATACATTTAATCATTATATATGAAAGTTAAGTAGAATACTATTTAATAGTTCAATATTTTTTTTTTTTAAATTTGAAATGTGATTTAATAAATATGTTTTAGATGATCCATTTAATATGTTATACATTATTTTCTTTTTATCATAAAAAAATATAATCATAATAAGAATATTAATTATGAAAACAAAAAGAGTTTATGTTTTCAAATCTTCTAGAAGTTATTTTTTCTACATTTCTATATATTTTATAAACATTTCTTTATACTCATATATATCATTTTTTAGTTGGGAATTTAAATTTAAAAGATAATTATTTTTTAATAATAGGAAATAAAGTAATTGTTACTTATGGTTCATAGATATTTCTTTTTGTATTTATATTTTTTAGGGAAAATATAATAAAAATCGTTTTATATATAAAATCTATATACTTTATATTTATGATATCTTCTTTTTATTTTTATGGTTTTTTAAAAAGGATATTTAAAATTTAAAAAAAAAATAAATAGAAATAATTGTTAATAAGGCAATTGGGTATGATTATTTCATTAATAGTATTTAAGTAATTGATTTTTGTGAGAATTAATGTGAACGGATATATATATATATATATATATATATATTTATTTATTTATTTATTTATTTATTTATATTCTTTCTATTTCATATTTATACAATAGTGGAAAATCTTGGTATGTCTAGATGGAATATTGATTCCAATGGTAAAGTACCTGAATATTTGCGAATCGTCCTCCAAAGTCTATTTGAGGTCATGGGAGAGATTGAACGAGAAATGAGACCGAAAGGAAGATCATACGGCGTGAAACAAGTGGTAGAGAAGGTAATCTAGCCAAGACCGAAAGAAAGATCATATGCATATTAGCATATATATAGTGCTTTTTCTCTTTAGATGCATATTAGCATATACACATATATATAGTTAGTGGACTCTGTTTGTTTCCTTGGGTGCAAACACAGATCAAGATCGTTGTGAAAGCATACAAAGAGTTAGCAAAATGGACACAGACGGGTCACATGCCAACCTTTGAAGAGTACATGAAGATTGGGTTGGTGACAGCCGGAATGGGTGATTTTGCTGGGTACTGCTTTATAGGTATGGAAGATATCAGTGAGAAGGAATCTTTTGAGGGGCTCAGTTCGAAACCTCTAATCTTTAAAGCTCTGGATGCAATGTTCCGTCTCGCTAATGACGTAGGGTCGTACGAGGTATACACTTTACATTAAAAGGATAATTGGTTCTTCTTTAATTTTAGTCACTTTAGTCCTCATGCATGAATTAACCATATTTTGTAGACCGAGACGAGCAGAGGAGAGATGGTTAATGCTCTCAACTGCTACATGAAGCAACATGGAGTCACCAAGGAAGAAGCATCCCAAGAGCTGCGTAAAATATATAGAGACAACTACAAAGTAGTTATGGAGGAGTTCATGAGCACACATGGTTATGTGCCACGACAAGCTCTTCTTCGATGCCTCAGCTTTGCACGAATCTTCGACGTGTTTTACAAGGAGGGTGATGGATACTCTGACCCCAAAGGCAAAATCGAACGCTTTATGACCTCCTTGTACGTTCATCCAATACTGCTTTGAGCCTTTGACTTGGAATGCACACCGGTTCTAATTTAGTTAAACCTTGCTTTCTTTTTTGATACTTTCTACAAATAAAATTTCACACTCTACAATCTAGGTCTATCTGGGGATGTTGTGTTAATTAACTTAATTGTATGCTTATATTTGAAAAAAAAAAATTTATGCATTTTTCATAATTTTCGTCTTTGTTATAAATTATCTCTTAATGTTAATCTTGATTTAATTAACAACTAGATTCTAACCCGTCTTTGAAAACATGGGTATATTTTGCTTTAATTTTTTGAGAAATTTAATTTTTATATTTGTGTCTTTTTAATGAATATTAGTATTTCCAAAATGTTACAATGCATACTGATTAAAATTATTTTTCCTTTAGTTACGATTATTGAATTATTAGGGTCTAGTGGTAGTGAAATGTGTGCTGTTAATGATTCTAGTCTATCATGAATAATGTGATTAATTAGATGTAGTTGTAAGATATTTCAGTGGAACAGCTCATGGTCATGTTTTTTCGCTCATATATAATTTATAGTGTGTACGTTAGTTTTATCTATCTATCTACTATAATTAAAAGGGCTAATTCTAGCCAAATTAGAGTGTCCACATAGGCAATTATAATCGTCCAATGAGGATATTTCATTTTGCCATGTCACACCCGATTTGGGTAATTGTTGGGCTGCTCTTCTGTAACTTTTTTTCAGTCTGATTGTTTGTATGGCCCATCGAAGTAAAACTTAAAAAGATAAACGACCGATGAATCTCTCTCCTCTCTTCTTTGCCGTTTTCTCTTCCCCGACATTCACGCTCTCTTACTCTCCCGGTAGTTCCAGTGACGGCTCTGCTACTGCCTTTCCCGACGGTGATGGGATTCGAAGAACGCGACGCAGCTCTCTTCGATTTATTAGACAGATTAGGAGCAGCGATGTAGTGGATCCAGGTTCATGGGTTTTGACCTTGGTTCTTTCTCAAGAATAATGTTAGTTTTGTAATCGATAGCTTTTAATCGATTTCTTTGCGTGATTGCAGATATGCTTATTCTGTTCCTATCATTAAACCCACATGATGAGTTCTTTTAAATGCTCTCCCATCACATTTTCCTTCTGTGTTGATCGCCCAGTTTGATTAAATTGTTTTGTTATTGTTTTGTTTTCTAGAGAAGATGAAGATCTCAAAGATCCATCATGAATTTGAGCGTACGAAACAGATGCCTAAGATGAATCCTCAAGGTTTGCCATTCACTTTAACAAAAACAAATTTGGCCGATTCATACTTATAGGAATATATGTTAGTAAGAATCTCAGATTGCATACGTATAAATTTACTGATTTAACCATGATTATCCATAGTTTTTAATGAGCGTATCTATATGACATTTTGCTTTGTTGTTCATGTTTTTTACAGACTTGAGAATTTCCTGAGAAGTATATGAGCTCCAGTCTTTCAGATTAGATAAATTTTCTGCACGGACAACTATTTTGGTTGCAGTCAACTCTTATTAAAACAAAAATAACTATTTTGGTTGCAGTCAACTCTTATTAAAACAAAAATAACTATTTTGGTTGTCGTAAGGTATTGCCAATCAAGAAAATTTCTTTCTAAATATTTTGCTTTGTCATAATGATTTAATCTCTCACCTTTTATATGATTGTTGCAGCTTAGTAGTATGGAGGAAAAAAAAGTATTTATACATGTGTCGTGATCAAATGAGAGGTCTGGTGTGATTGATAGACTTCTTATGTTTTAGTAAGGTCAGTTTACATACATTTAAGCGATTTGAGCTTAGTAAAATTAGAGACAGAGATGGATTTTAACCCTACAATTCAAAAAATATCCACCACATATCTATGTACTTGCACGCCAACTTCCTTTGAAAAATTAGAACGTTTCTTAAAGTTTGTCGGAGGTAATATCATGAATTTAGGTTTATCTCTTAAAATAGGTTCCCATCGTCTAGCCTATACATATTTTTCAATCCAAGAGGTGTCTATTATATATGTTATCATAGTATGATGTGGTTTTTCTGATGAATGCAGCTCTTATAACAAGTGTGTTGCAGAGAAAATATGTAAACTCGCGCCAGGAGTTTGTGAAGAGTCTATGCACATACAAAGACATATTTGAGCTTAGAAGGCGAGTCGAAGCATTTGCTTAGCCGTATGAGATGCATGCTTCTAGCTATCAGAGAGATTGTACACGCCGTAAGTATTTCTCCACCATCATCTTAAGATTGCTCCTGTTATAGCTATGTCTCCCATCAGAGAGTTTTGTTGTTTGACTTAGCTGAACCAAGCAATAGTTGATTCTTCCATTGTCGTTTCACACAGTTTACAGAGGATTTCTGACTTCTAAGTTTTGATACCTATAACTCTATAGAATATGATCACCATTGAGGCAAACGGTTGCCTTTTTTTGAGTCACTCTCAGGTTCTTTCACCCTTTTGCACAATTTTCTTAGCCTTTTCATTCATAGTTGTAGATGATTTGACATAGTGTTGATACTGTTGTGACAGATTGGATGCTTGACAGTGCTTCCAGATATTATTACATTGTTATTTTTTGAAAAATCTATATGCACAAACTGATGTTTTTCTACATTCCTATGTTTGTGTATCTATGTAGGCCACTTCCTTGCTAATTCACCGGAGACAAGAGTTCTCATGGATACCATATAGGACTTGGCTCTGCCTTCCGCTTCTCTTCTATCTTCGGTAAGATCCTCTTGAGAAGAAGCTTGTGTGCTTTGACTTTTCATATATATGTCCAGACGTGTGAAGAAATTTTTCATCGGACGTGATTTTCTGTTCTTTTTGTGACTTACTTGCAGGGTTTCATATATGGCTGCAGCATGCCCGCTACTTCTCCTTTCGTTTACCATGTTGTCCTTCTATCTATTGGCATTTATGGACAGCAGTTTACCTGTGGCTTTATCCATATATGATCTGTTGCCGCTACCGTGGCGTAGATGAGAGAATGGTCCTTTAACCAGATACGAAAATTCTCAAAAGTATGAATTAAAGCACTAACGTGAGTTATTATCACGACTTTGACTAAGACTACGGCTTGGTTTTCTTCTACGGGGAGGGGAATGAAATTTAAATGGTGACTTGGAGTACCTTTAATGTAGCCTAGAATCTAGGCCCTAGATTATTACAGACCAAAGGGGTATCAGAGGAAGCTTAAATAAAATGTTCAAAACTAACTAAATAAGTATGTAAGAAAAACAGTTTTCTTTTCACTGCCAATAATAAGAAAACGTTTCAGTGAAAACAGTAAATATATTGGAAAATAAGATATCATTTTGGTTTACATCATAGTTTACAGGGAAATCAATTATGACTAAACTTGACAGACTATGGAAGATACAAGATAGTGTTATTTTAGTTAATTAAAGCTATTAGTTTATGCTAAGTGAATAGTTTATGTTAATATGACCACGCTTTAATATTTTTAAAATATTGCATTTTTATATATGTGATTGGAGAGCATATATAAAAAGGAATCTAAGATAAAATCACAAAATAATAAATATTATTCAAAAACACAAAATGTAAATAATGACATCTAAATTAACCATTATAATAATTATTGTGAGAGCGAAACATAGAAAAATGACTTATCAAATAATATTACAGAAAAAATGTAAGAATTATAATTATAAATGTAAATAAAAAACTAATTGAATTGTTGGATATGTACTTTGCAATTGTAAGAAAGAAAAGAATTCTAAAATCTATTTTTTAAAAGACTTTAAAAAAAGAAAATATGATCAATTGGTATTTACATTTTGTTTGGATTAAATTCTCATATAGATATCAAGCTGAGAATATTTAACCAGTTAATTACTAAATACAGTATATATATTGTTACCAGGGGTAAACAATTTTATCAACCGACTAAATATTTATTAAAACTATTAATTTTAAAATCGCCAAATTTCCCAGACAAAATAAATTAAAAATGGTGAACTATCACTCAAGCTAAATCAAATATATTTTGAAAAATACACATGATGCAAGGAATTAAACGTCACAATCCAGAAACTAAAACAAAACTCATAGTTAGTTGCTTCAAAAGATGTACATGTGAAATAAATATTTATATTTCTAACATATGTTATATCTTATACAAAAATATATTATAGATCAAAGATTGCAAGACAAATATCTATGTCCAGAGAGTTACAAAGCATATGTAATTGGAAATATGAAGTTGTCGTGATGACAAGCATTATCCGTATCATAAAATATATATTAAAAAAATGTGATACATTATAATTAATACCTCTTATTAATAGGGAAGCTAATGTTCACTTTATCATTGGCAACACAATTTTTCTTTGACAACACAATAAAAATCATCAAAACTTTAGAAACAAGATAAAAGTCAAGTCTAATGCATAGGTTCAGTACAAAACACCAACAAAATTTGGAAGATGATTATTAAGAAAACTCAACTAAAATAAACATTTCAACTATTTCTATCTATATATTCTGAAATTAGTTTTGGTATTTTGGCATATACAATCTTATTATAATTTAGATGCAACATTTAAATAACCAAAATCAGTTCATGTCATCTCAACTCTTATACCATATGTCAGATGAAATACTCAGTTAATCTGATAAAAAATATAAATACACAATATTTAAAGAAACTATAAACAAACTCGAACAAAACAATAAATATAGTCGTATGAATGACAATTTAACACCACAAACCTCCTTTGATCAGTATGTATGATTTATTTCTCTCTTTCCTATTATACTCAAAAAGTCCAATTCTAATTCACTTTTGAAAGATTTAGTTAATATTGAACTTACAAGAAAGATGTTTTAAAATTTAATTAAGAAAAATAGTGTTTTGTCAAAGAAAAAGAGGAAGCTGTTTATTTTGAAGGATGTGATGTAAATCCAGTTTAGGGCAAAAGAGATCATCAAGAAAATATTAATAAAAAGGCAACAAATTTTCCGCTACTTTCTAAACTCAAATTTTATAGGTATTTTCGGATAAAATTACCAAACAATATCATATTTTTATACTAATATATAAAAGAAAAAAATAAAATCACATATACCGCGCGTAGCGCGGTAACGAACCT